ATAGCACACGGAAATCTGGTCACCGATCGTCATACCAGTTTTATGACCTTTAAATGCCAAAAAATGAGTAACGGTCATGGCGATGTAGTGACTATTGTTCCTAAGGTCGCTTTTTATGGGGCAACAAAAATTTTGGCTATCCGGGTTCGGGCAGCAGGGCCCATGCAGGAGGCATGGGTTATAACATACGAATATCTAGGAATCAGGCGGAATTCTAGTTTTATGGCCCTAAAACGCCAAAAATGAGTAACGGTCATGACAATGACAAGGTGACGACTATTGTTCCTTAGGTTATTTTTTATTGGCATTCTCTCACCTTCAGACCTGACTCATCTCTCACTTATCTATTCATCTGCATATTCATCTCACTCTCATTTGGTCTCACCTTTACACACGATTTACTCCAATTTGTATTAAATAACGTGAAGGTGGCCATTTGTGTAACAATTGATTCTAGTTGAATAATATTCTAGCTTAGAATTTGAGTATCTTCAAGTAGTTTTCTCAGTATAGTTTGTCTCTTTCATGCTTATATGGTCATGTGTTAAGATTCATTATTTTGTTATAAGATTTTGTTAGTTTCATTCTTAAATTTGAAAACGAAGCTGGTTGAGAGTTGCCACGAATTTGATTTGAGTTGCTTTATTAACTAATAGGCTGTTTGGTTAGTATTTACGGTGTTTGGGCCATCTGTTAGTCTTAGGAAATCAGAACGTTGATTTGGGATTATAATAGCATGGTCTGTTAGTTTGAGCCCATTTCATAAATGAATTGATGAGGCAAATAAGTCATATGCCAGGCCCACTTCGTGATAATATGCTGCTGGCCCATCCCTTCTCCAGTTACAAAGCTAGCACACTTTACATATTTAATCCACTTGATGCTTCTCCAACAATAATTCCATAAGTATAAGCCCTTTCACAGATAATCTAAAACCTTAGGATTAAACAATTTATAAACATTCGTAGCTTGCTTTAGGCGTGATCAATAAAATCGTCGTGATTATGGGTACAGATCCCGTGGCATAGTCATGATACGTAAACCTCAATTTGAGTACGTGTTCACGCGACTTGATCACAACTTCAAATAATTAGAATAAACATGTTTTGAATCACAGGTACGTTTCACAGGTTCGTGATTTGCGATGTGTACAAAAAAAATAAGTGCGCGACACTGCGACTTGCTTAAATAAATTTCATACATGTTTAAAATAATTAAAAGCGGTATTGAAGCGGTAACACATAAAAGGTTTTAAACAAATAATAATTCAGATAATTAAGCCAAGTATTAATTGTTAAGCGACCGTACTAAAACCACGAAATTCGGGAGTGCCTCACACCTTCTCTCGGGTTAACAAAATTTCTTACCCGGTTTTATGTGTTCGCGAATCATAAATAGAGTCAATTTTCTCGATTTGGGATTTTAAAATAAACTGGTGACTTAGGACACCACAATAACCATTCCAAATGGCGACTCTAAATAAATAAATAATCCAATTTCGAACAATGTCACTTTAATTGGAAAAACTCCTTATCTTCGGAAAAATAAGGTGTGACAGAACTATTTACAGCAATATGTTTTCTTGCACGAACAACTAGGGATGGCATTCGGTACTTCAGTTTGGTATTTAAGAATTTCGATTCGGTATTTTGGTATTCGGTTTATCAATTGTGTATACCAAATACCGTACCAAAGTAGTTCGGTACGGTTCGATATTTCTTATTTTAGTTCGGTACGATTTCGGTTTGATACATTAACGGAATAGATGATATAAATGGAGTGGACAGTGGACTGGACACGATGTACGAAGCTAGCTGCTTGACAATACGTGAATAAACATCATTTGAATAAGGTAGCAGCTTGTATGAATAAGCTAGCAACCTGCTAAAGTGTACAAAGCAACTTTAACAGAATTCAAGTATACCAAGCAACTAGTCAACTAACGAGGCTAACAACAACAAGCATCAACAGAATTAAAGTACATTAAACAATAAACACATAAATCAGCAGCAGAAAGTACATTAAACAATAAACATAATAAACATAATTGTCCATTCAAGCACTTATTCAAACGAGTAACAGAATACAACACAACAACAACATCTGTCATCTAACAAGCATCAATAGAAATCAGAATTAAACAATAATAAGATGCAACAAGAACAGAGAGGGCATACACCTGCTACTGAGGTCGTGAAGTCGTTGTCGCCCTCTGTTATTATAGTCGTGAATCAGCAGCAGCCAAGCAATGTTGCAATTTTTTAGAGAAGTCTAGGGTTAGAAAATATGAAAGGGAAATGGGGTAAGCAGAAGAAGCTACTGCCCGTAAGTATGATGTCTCTAAGCCTAAAGAGGCCGCTAGGAGCGCTAAGGGATCAGGGAATTTGGGGGCTTGGGTGTTGGGTTTAGGCTTATTGGGCAGGAAAATAAAAATAGAGTTGGGATTGGACTTAAATATTTTGGTATTTCGTATTTCGGTATACCGAAATACTGAAATATCAAAAAATTAATACCGTATACCGTACCGAAATACCATAATTTTTGTACCGAAGTATATCGAAATACCGAAAAGACCGATACCGAAATACCAAATTAATTCGGTTCGATTCGAAATTCGATTTTTCGGATTTTATGCCCACCCCTACGAACAACTATATGTTGCACTCTCAAGATGGATATCAAGATCAACAACAAGAGTTCTTGTTAAGGCAGAGCAACCAACGCATTAGGAGGAAACATACACAAAAAAAATATTATCCACAAAAAAATATTCGTTAAGATACAATCACATTAAATACTTTTAAACTATAATATATAATTATCTAACTAACATGACAAAATTGATCATTTGTGTATGTTTTGATAATGTCCTTTTATTTTAAATTCATGTATTATGTTAATGTAATAATATTTTTCGACATTTAGATGACTATTGTATTATTATACATAAAATTTCTCTTATTAATTAAATTTTATTATTTCTTCATATAAATAAATATTTAAATCATCACGTGCCATTATTAACGTGCAATGCACATTCATAAATACCAGCTTACATAAATACATGGTTAAAATATATAAAATCATAAAATACTTTTTTTTTTTTTTAAATTAGTTGGTTTTTCTTCCATTAATCTACGTGGTTAGTTGATAAGTTAGTTGATTACTGAACTAAAATAATTGAGTGATCCTATTTTGGCAAATTAGTTTTTAAATTAGATTTGTTAAGAAAAGTTGGCTAAATGTGAAAATCAATTTAGAAAAAAAAAAAAACAAGGAAGAAGCAAATCTTTTGAACTGGGCCAACACTTAAACGCCCCAATCTGCGTAGAAATGGCGTGGTATAGCCATTTTTTTAAGTGGTATTTACTTTTTAGCCAGTATTTTTAATGTTGAGCAAAAATAGCCACTACTCTATTAAAATCAATACGAAAAGTCTTTTTTACCCTTTCTTCATGAGTGATGTGTAAATATTAAGGACATGGTGTCCTTAACTTCATAAGTGATGTGTAAAATATTAAGGACACTATGTCCTTAACACTTACATTGCACACATGAAGTTAATGACACCATATCTTTAACATTTACAATGCACATATGAAGTTAAGGACATGATGTCCTCAAGTTTAACAAAAGAAGTTGCAAATACAAGTTAATGATATTATGTCCTTAACATTTACATTGCACACATGAAGTTAAGGACACCGTGTCCTTAACATTTACACTACACATATGAAGTTAAAGACACCATGTCCTTAATATTTATATTGCACATATGAAGTTAAAAACATGATGTCCTAAAGTTTAACAACAGAAGTTGCAAATACAAGTTAATGATATTATATCCTTAACATTTACATTGCACACATGAAGTTAAGGACACCATGTCCTTAACATTTACACATCGCATATGAAGTTAAGGACACCATGTCCTTAATATTTACACATCACTCATGAAGTTAAGGACACTATGTCCTTAACATTTACATTGCACACATGAAGTTAAGGACACCATGTCATTAACATTTACACTGCACATATGAAGTTAAGGACAACATGTCCTTAATATTTACACATCACTCATGAAGCTAAGGACACTATGTCTTTAACATTTACATTGCACACATAAAGTTAAGCACACCACGTCCTTAACATTTACACTACACGTATGAAGTTAAGGACATGATGTCCTAAAGTTTAATAACAGAAGTTGTAAATACAAGTTAATAATATTATGTCCTTAACATTTACATTACACACATGAAGCTAAAGACACCATGTCCTTAACATTTACACTGTACATATGAAGTTAAGGACATGATGTCCTAAAGTTTATCAGCAGAAGGTGCAAATATAAGACACTTTGTCCTTAATATTTACACATCACTCATGAAGTTAAGGACACTATGTCCTTAACATTTACAATGAACATATAAAGTTAAGGATACCACGTCCTTAACATTTACACTGCACATATGAAGTTAACGACATGATGTCCTAAAGTTTAACAACAGGAGGTGCAAATACGAGTTAAGGACATTATGTCTTTAACATTCTCATTGCATACATGAAGTTAAGGACACCATGTCCTTAAAATTTACACTATACATATGAATTAAAGATATGATGTCCTAAAGTTTAACAACCGAAGTTGCAAATATAAGTTAATGATATTATGTCCTTAATATTTACATTGCACACATGAAGTTAAGGACACAATGTCCTTAACATTTACACTGCACATATAAAGTTAAGGACATGATGTCCGAAAGTTTAGTAGCAGAAGGAGCAAATATAGGACACTTTGTCCTAAATATTTACACAACATTCATGGAGTTAACGATACCATATCTTTAATATTTACATAATACCTATGTCTAGCACATGTGTATTTTTGTTCGACGGGTAAAACTTTATTAAGTACTGGTTAAAGAGTAAATACATTTAAAATAGTGGCTAAAAAATAAACACATCTCTAATTAGCGACTATGTGCGCACTTCCCCGCCCAGCTTCACCCCAAATACACGACCCAATCCCCTCTCCTTTTCAGATTTCATTCGCGCACACACGTACGGACTGATTCACTCTCTCATCGATATCACTCTCACATCGATTCCCATACTGAGATTCGAAAAAACCAAAAAACAAAAACAGGAGCAGCGGAGAGTGAGCATTTTTTCAGTTCTGGAAATTCAAAATTGTAGTGAAAAGAAATTTCGAACCTGTTTCGATTTACCGATTTACTCTGTAATTTCTGGGTTATCAAGGAGTGATTTGGTGTTGAATTGCTGTGATTTCGATTGAGGTAGCAGTGGAACTTCATCCCGTTTTCTTCTTAGCCTTTATTTGGCATTTTTAGAGTGATTCCTGCGCAATCAGGTACTTATCTTTGAATTCGAGTTACTGCTTGCAAATAATGAATTAGTTCCTTTGTCTTCTATAGAATCCCGCTTCGTTTCTGTTCTCCTGTGCTAAATTCTTCCTGATTAGACTATTTTCAGTAGATCTAAAGTCGGATTGATTCTGTGATGGTTTGTTTATTGATTGAGTAATGAATTGATTCATGCCAAGTGCTAGTGCCTCAGTAGATTATCATAACTGCTGTTGAATATAAACATTTAAGAAATTCAGGAGAAACTCTTATTATCCTCCATTTTTAATCATGTAAGAAGCTCCATAAGAGCTCAGTGAAAAGTAGCGGAAAACCTGCCTTTAACAGTCACAAAGACCACCTGAAACTCCCTCAAGAACAGCTGCAAAAACTGTCCAAAAACAGCCCCAAATCCCAGTGTTAACCACACCTCCAAACACCGAAAATATAGCACAACAACGTAGATCACCAATGAGTTCGAGTTGAGTCCGTTCGAGTTGTCAATTTCGGTTTGAAGTTCCGTTAGCAACAAAGTTCTTAATTTGAGCTCGTTGAGGTTCACGACGAGGTCTCTAGTTCGGGTTTCGTTGATAAGGTTTCATTGGTGCTAGAAGAATAATTCTCTATGTACAAATTTGCTTTATCAAATCCTTGAAGAATTTCATGAGTTTCAGGTCCATTTCCAGCCATCTGTTCCCTGTTTTAAAGAGTTGAATGTTTAAGTGATTTTGTTTCAGTTGTTTGAGTTTAGTTTATGATGCTTAGCTTCTGCCTGATTCGAAATTAGCTTCTATTTGATTAATATTTGTTAATACCAAAGTACTATATGCTATTTAGGAATTTAGAAGATCATTGTATGGTAAAAATTGGATATTTTCCTCCATTACTCCTCGATGCCTACATATTTGGTGCGAAGTTGGCCTGATTTCATGTCTTATCATGTATTTAGTCATGTTACTTGATATTCTCTTATGTTTAAAGCTCACATCTTTTGCAACATTTTGTTTCCTGTTTCGAAATTAGTGTGAGATATTGGTGGCTCTAACTTTGGTCCTTAGTTTACCTTTAGTATGGTTGTGAACGTAGAGTTAGGCATTAGTTAGTTTCTAATTAGATTGTTGCAGTAATTTAGCCATTGAATTGATTGAATTAAGAGCTAATTGGGCAGCGGAGAGGTTGAATACCAAGATAAAGAACTCGTTTTTATTTTCAAAACAAAGGGATAGCTTGACAATTTCACTAATTTAATGTAAATGTGAATCTTATAATTCTTCCACAAATAATTCCATAATTCATGGCCTTGCAACAATTTCAGTTAGCTTAAGAAAATAACTCATGAACATCGTAGCTTGCTTAAGGCGCGATTAATAATCATAAATTATCGTGGATATGGGTACGGTTCCCGTGGCATAGCTATGATACATAACTCTAAATTCAAGTGCACGTTCGCGTGATTTGACCTCACAACTTCAAAATAATAATGATAATAATAATACACAAGTTGCGAATCGCGGGAGCGTTTCACGCGGTGTGATTTGCAATATGTACTAAACCAACAAGTGCGCGACATCGCGATTTATTTTCAATAAACTCCATAATAAATTAAAATGTACAAATAAAAGCGGTAAAAAGGTAAACACGCATAATAGGTTTAAAACAAGTAATAATCAAATAACTAAGCCGAGTTTAATAGTAGAGCAACCGTGCTAAAACCACGGAATCCGGGAGTGCCTCACACCTTCCCTGGGTTAACATAATTTCTTACCCGGTCTTTTGTGTTTCCCAGAGTCAAACTTCCTTGAATTGAGATTTTAAAATAAATGGCGACTTGGGACGCCGTAAATAATTATTCCAAGTGGCGACTCTTTAAATAAAATAAATCAATCAATTTTCAATAAATGTCACTTAAAATTGGAAAAACTTCTTTGCCCTTTCCTCGGAATAGGAGGTGTGATACCCGGGCCCATGCAGGAGGCGTGGGCTATAACATAGTAATCGGACGGAATTCCAATTTTATGACCCTAAAACGCCAATATAGTAATATAACATAGTAATCATGGCGAGACGGTGACTATTGTTCCTTAGGTCGTTTTTGATAGGCCGGTAAAATTTTAGGCTATCCGGGTCCGGCGCCAGGGCCCATGCAGGAGGCGTTGGCTATAGGACACGAAAATCTAGGAAATGGGTGGAACTCCAGTTTTATGGCCCTTAAATGCCAAAAAATGAGTAACGGTCTTATGTTCCTTAGGTCGTTTTTGATGGGCAGCAAAATATAAGGTGATTCGGGTCCGGGCGCCCGGACTCATGGAGGAGGCGTGGGCTATAGCTTACAAAAATCTGGCCACCGGTCGCCATTCCAGTTTTATGGCCCTAAAACGCCAAAAAACGAGTTACGGTCATGGCGAGGCGGTTACTATTATTCCTTAGGTCGTTTTTGATGGGCCGAAAAAATTTAGGCGATCCGGGACCAGATGCTCGGACCCATGCAAGAGGCGTGGGCTATAGCAAACGAAAATCTAATAAACGAGTAACGATCATGGTGAGGCGGTGACTATTGTTCCTTAGGTCGTTTTTATGGGCCGACAGAATTTTAGGCGATCCGGGTCCGGGTGCCAGGGCCCATGCAGAAAGCGTAGTTTATAGCACACGAAAATCTGGAAATGGTGCGGAATTTCTGTTTTATGGCCCTAAAACACAAAAAAACGAGTAACGGTCATTCCCAGATTTTCGTGTGCTATTTGCATGTATCTAGGCGACCAGACCCGAATCGACTAAAATTTGTGCGGCCCATAAGAAACGACCTAAGGAACAATATTCATTGCTTTGCCATGACCGTTCCTCGCCATGATTTTCATGTGCTATAGCCCACACTATCTGCATTCATCCGGTCGAACCCGAATCGCCTAAAATTTTATCGGCCCATAAAAAACGACCTGAGGAACAATGGACATCGCTTCACCGTTCTTCGATTTTTGGCGTTTAGGTCCATACGAAAATCTGGGAATGGATATAGTCATAAATTCGTGTTGTATCACCCTGAAAGCTGAAATACTAAAAAAATAAACCCGAAAGTCATGGTAAAGCAATTTAAAATTTCAGGCTAATCAGAGTATGTCAAATATTGTTTACAAAATCATTATGTGCTAATTCACACGAAAAAGTGAATATAATCATAAATTTGTATTGCATGACCTCGAAATGCTATAAAATGAACTCGAAAGCCATGACGAAACTATGAGTATTAGTCACTAGGTCGTTCCCTATAGACCTACAAATTTTCAGTCCAATCAGAGTTCGTCAAAAAGATTCTTCAAACTGAACATGTACTAATATACACGAAAAAATAGATATAATTATAAATTCTTGTTGCATGACCTCAAAACGCCATAAAATAAACTCGAAAGTCATAGCGAAGCTATGAGTATTGGTTGCTATGAATTTTCAGGCCGATTAGAGTCTGTCAATTTTTTTTAAGAAAAATCAACATGTACTAATACACATGAAAAAGTAGATATAGTCATAAATTCGTGTTGCATAACCCCGAAACACCAAAAAATGAACCTGATACGCCAAGAAGCAACGTTAGTCATGTCGAAGCAATGAGTATTGGTCTTTAACTCTCCTATTCGAATTGAACTAATTCTTTTGTTCTGCGGTCGCGTTCTTATCTTATTTTTTTTCTTATTTTTCTCTTACTATAATTCCATTTTATTTTTTACCCCACCTTTCTAATAATTACTGTATCCGTACTCTATTTTTTTTAATTAATATTGTAAGCATATTCTACAAATTGATGGTATATGATATTATAAAATGACGAAAAACATATAGTTTTTCAAAACATTACTATTCGATACTATATGATACTATTTATTAAAACAAAAAATATATATAATACATTATGAAAAGAAAGTTCGTTGCCCTTGAAATTTCGGGCAAGAACTATATGACATGGGTGTTGGATGATGAAATCCATTTAGATGCAATAAGCCTTGGAGCCTCATATGAGCCCAATCATATCGTGTTTGTGGAGGAGTGACCAACTTTAAGTTGTCATATCTTTCCCTTCAGCCATTCCACATAACAAGTGAATCTTTGACCGTGAGATATTCTATTTTCAACCCGTCATCAAGGTGATGGCGCAAGAAAATCAAGGCCTTAGCACAGTCTTGGATAGATGCTTTATTTTTATCTTTAATGGCGTCTCCAAAACCCATTGTATCTAAATGGATATCAGCATCCAACACCCATGTCATATAGTTTTTGCCCGAAATTTCAAGGGCAACGAACTTTCTTTTTATAATATCAATCATAATTTAAAAAAAAAAAAATTATACCTTAGTCTTCTCAAAGAGCTTCTTGAGACGGTAGAGTCTCGTGCTGATACGTGTTATGAAATATAGCTCAAAGCAATAATACAGAACAAGGAAAAATAAGCTAAGAGATATAGAGAAAAAGAGATGAGAGATTCTTATTTCTTCTTCAATTGTGTTTTATTTCCTATCTATTACAAGGCCTTTATATAGGCATGAAAAGTGAAGAATCACTATTGTAAAATAGTGAGTGGAATGGTCAGTGGTCACTACATAAATATGTCATTGAACATGTCATTAAGCATTTGAGAAGAAGATCATGGAACATTGCATTATCTATGACAAATATTGTTCCCCTAGGCAGAGTTATAGTAGCTCTTTCAGAGCCTTCAATTAGATTACTACTACCAGAAATTGTAGTAACATCTGCCTTACACATACTTAAATGAGAGAAATATTTCTTCTCTTTGAATATTGTATGTGTACATAAATCAATTAAACAAATATTTTTACAATTCAACTTTGATCCAAGTTTGCTTTGTGACAATATCCATATTTGCTTCCCATGGTTTGACATACAAAGAGAAGTATATGAATAAATATCAGTACTTTCAGAGAAAAAGGAAAGAAATAAATTTAAACCAATTATTCAATAATGATTTTTTAATGTAATTTCGAGCAAACTCAGAATATGA